ATATTAGTAACAACAACAAATAATAGAAATAAATCAGATAACTCATTTATAATAACTGAAGCCAACCCAGCAGTCATAACCAATTATCATTTCCGTCAATTTCCGTTGGAGCGTGCAACTCGCTCTCACAATATATTCATATTCAATTCTGNTTGACTTTTAATAAGTCTGTTGCGGCGTGCAACCCGATCCTCCAATATAGACTTTTTAATAAGTTTATTGTGGCGTGCAACCCGATCCTCCAATATATCCATTTCAATCAATTCTATTGCGACGTGCAACCCGATCCTCCAAATATTGACTTTTAATAAGTCTGTTGCGGCGTGCAACCCGATCCTCTAATATATCCATTTACCAATTCTTATAGAAGAAATTTTCCAAATAAAGGCGACAATTAATATAAAATTATAAGACAACATGCATACAATAATTATAATTTAATTATGAAACAAACAATGACAAATAACAAATTATTATGGAAATCAGGGAGAAAATAGGCAGTTTAATATTTAATATACTAGATGTCAAGTAGCAATTAATGCACATAATTCAAATAAGCACGTAGAAATTATTACAGGAATTCAAGAATTAATATTTGACAAGAATTATGAGTAAAACAATTAATATAATAATTCATTCATGATTTAAATAATTTATGATTTTCAAATAATTATGCAAACAATTAATTCGATGATGTATAGACACTCGTCACCTCGCCTATACGTCGTTCAAATGCAATTCACATAATAAATAATTTAAGGGTTCTATTCCCTCAAGTCAAGGTTAACCACGACACTTACCTCGCTCTGCAAATTCCAATCAATTACTCGACCACAGCTTTTCCTTTTAAATTTATCTCCAAAAGCTTCAAATCTATTCATAAACAATTCAATATACTCAATACAAATCATAGGAATTAATTTCATATGAATTTACTAATTTTTCGGATGAAAATCCGAAATTCATTAAAATATTCGGCAGTGGGACCCACGTCTCAAATCTCGAAAAAACTTATGAAATACGAACACCCATTCCGAGACGAGTCCAACCATACAAAAATTATCCAATTCCGATATCAAATGGACCTTCAAATCTTAAATTTTCGTTTTTGGAAGAATTTATAAAAATTTGATTTTTCTTCCATAAATTCACAGATTCATGATATAAATGAGTATGAAATCATGAAATATAATCAGTATAGGATAAAGAACACTTACCCCAATGTTTTTCCGTGAAAATCTCCCAAAAATCGCCTTACCCATGCTAAAAAATAAAAAAGAGTTGAAAATGGGTCGAAACCCCATTTCCAAAACTTAAGTTCTGTTTCTGGGATTTTTAACCTTCGCGAACGCGGTCAGTGCCTCGCGTTCGCGAAGCACAAATTTGTGCTGTCCAATTTTTACTCTTCGCGAACGCGAGGGCTACTTCGTGAACGCGAAGCTTGCCTGGCTTGGCCTTCGCGAACGCGAGGGCTACTTCGTGAACGCGAAGCTTGCCTGGCTTGGCCTTCGCGAACGCGAGATGCCCTTTGCGAACGCGAAGGCATTTGTCCTGGCCAGCCCCTTTCCCTTCGCGAACGCGAGGTTTCGATCGCGAACGCGAAGCTTCGCACCTCAGGCCTTCGCGAACGCGTTCTCTCTGTCGCGAACGCGAAGCACAAAATGCACCATCCCCAATTTGCTCTTCGCGAGCGCGAGACTCCCCTCGCGAACGCGAAGAAGGAAATAAAAAGAAGGTTTCTGCAATTTCCTCAAGTCCAAAAATGATCCGTTAGCCACCCAAAACCAACTCGAGCCCTCAGGGCTCCAAACCAAACATGCACCCAAATCCTAAAACATCATACGAACTTGCTCGCGCGATTAAATCGCTAAAATAACACCAAGAACTACGAATCGGATACCAATTCAAAGGAAATTTTTAAGAAAACTTCAAAACTTATATTTTTACAACCGGACGTCCGAAGCACGTCAAATCAACTCCGGTTCTCACCAAATTCGGCAGACAAGTCATAAATATTATAGTGGACCTACACCGGGCTCCGGAACCAAAATATGGATCCGAGGTCAATAAATCCAACATCAGTAATTTCTTAAAAATTATTAAGCTTTTAATTTTTTATCAAAATTCCATATCTCGAGTTAGGGACCTCGGAATTCGATTCCGAGCATACGCCCAAGTCCCAAATCACGATACGGACCTAACGAAATTGTCAAAACACTGATCCAGGCCCGTTTGATTAAAATGTTAACTAAAGTCAACTCAGTTAAATTTTTAAAGCTCTATTTCACATTTTAATCTATTTTTCACATAAAAACTTTTCGGAAAATTGTACGGACTGCGGACGCAAGTCGATGAATGATAAATGGTGCTTTTCAAGGTCTTATAATATATAATTACTTATTAAATTTAAAGATGACATTTTGGGTCATCACATAATATGAGCAAAGGATTCTTTAGTAGGTTTGCATCCGTCTCTTATAGAGTATGTCGACCCAAAAAATAAACTCAGCTATTATATTTATAGTGCATTTAGCAAAAACCTGAAGAACATTAATAAAGGCTACAGTAGACTAGGATAGTATTTTTGATAAAGTAGGCTAAAGAGGTCTCTGAACTTGCGTGTTTTATCTTTGCTTTAAAAACTTCTTCCTCCTAGCTTTCAGCTCATAAGTCAGCTGACTCTTCACAAGTGTCTCTAGCAGAACAATCTATCTGTTTAGCAAGTAAAACAAGGCTCTGTTTGTAAGTATTAACATAAAGTGCACTGCCAAACGGTTCCCAGGTAATGTTATGAATGCAAAGACACTTGATTTTTCCAACTGCAGGTTCATATGAAACCAAGAACGGGTGGTACGCTCTCCACAAAATGTCGCCATTTTTCCTTGAAGCCATTGGCTGAAACAAGTAAGGAGTAACCTGACGCTCATCTGTAACAGACCCACCATAAAGCATCGAGAAAAATTCATCAGCAACAACGTTGAATATCATGCGTCGACAAATGCAGAACTGTTTCACCCATGATTCTGGGTCACCATACCCTTTCATCATCCAAATATCAACTTCACGATCTATCAAACTATTAACCAAACAAAGTGAATCCTTTGACCCAAAACGGACAAACTCAAAATCATAAGTCCAAGACTTGTCAACTAAACTAACTGGTAACATTATTTCCCGGAACATTTTTAAGACTATCTTGAAATTCAATAGAAAATGTTGTTGGATTTTGAAAATGGTATAGCAACTATGCTACTGGAACTACCAAAAAGAGAGTCCCGGGGGTATTTACATTCCTAGTTCTGAACAAAAAATGCTTGTGCAAATGGAGGTTGTCAAAAGGTTTCAGTATCAATACAACAGAACATATGGGAAGCGAACAAATAGTAAGGTTCAAGTAGGAAGACTTAGGACAGAAAAAGGAGTATAAAGAACCAGCAAACCATCAGCCAACCATTATCCTATCGTTGTAAGATCAAAGCAAAACATCCATGACATGGCATATGATCAAGAAAGCTAAACTCTGTAAGGGAGGTGTATAGTACTGCTAGAAAGATAAGTATCCTACTAGTGGAATGCATTAAGGAGCAAGAATAGTTGGTTTTTCGCCGTAGCCATAACAGTTGAAAATATCATGAAATGTTTGGGGAGAATGATGAGCCCAAAACTATATAGCTTCTCAGGAAGTAGATTCTAAGACATTGGATTTACAGCATGTAGCTCAAACATGGAGAGTCTCACTTACCAAGACCATCCAAAATTATGCTGCTAGTCTAATTCCCACAAGAAAATTTTACCTTCCAACACTACAAGGTGGATAGAGTCAGAAGTCAGAACACAACCTTCAAAACAAGGCCATCTTTGCAATTTCATGAACCTGATGGGATTCTAAGATCAGAACTAGATATTTCAAATTTGAGGATGTAGCTGGATCCTGATGGTTTTCTGGAAATGATCAAGCACATTAGTGGCTCCTTTTATGTTAATGGAAAACCAGATTATGCTCTGGCATAGAAGCTAAAACTAATGAAACATAAATAGAAAGAGTGAAATTAAGAAACTTTTAGGAGGCTAAAAAGGAAAAAATCAGATAATGAAAAAAATGCAGCATAATTATAAAGCAAAAATACTTCGGCAAACAGTGGCTGTAGACACTTTCTAGTATATCAAAGAAACCCAAACTGCAAAGGGATGTTGACAGCAACTACAATTGAAGATTTCAGCCAAAACAAACAGTAAACTCCAAGTAGGAAGACACAGAAGAGAATAGGAAGATGAAGAACTAGCAAAGCATTAGCCAATCCTGCTTTTAAGATCAACAAATTGTAAAAGGAAGAAAATGTTGACAAGGCATATGATCAAGAAAACAAAATTCAATTCATAGTAGTGGTCTTTAGTATCATTTCTATAATTCTATTAAGCCTCCTACAACATAGAAATTTGGCGAGAAAATATAATAGAAACACCAAATAGTTGCAAAAATAACACATTGTTTTGAACTATGATGAACCCAAAAACATCTACCTAGTAGTAGTTACGACATTAGATTTACAGTCTCCACTTTAATCAAAGAGTTTGAATACCCAAGAGCATAGAGAATTGCCGTGTAATCCTGACTCCTTCAAGAAAGTTTGACCTTCCAATAAATTAAAGAAGGTCCCCATTGTCAGCCTGAAGCCTGCAAAACAATGCCATGTGGCAAGAAATTAATAAGATTTTAAAACATGAACTATCTATAAAAGTTGTAAGAAGATTAGCATATAAAATTCAGTGACTTTATCCAAAATTTGATTTGACTAAAAGAATTAAACAATAATATGAGCAAAAGAATTCTTTCCAGGTTTGTGTCTGTCTCATACAGAATATGCCAACTCAAAGCATAGACTCAGCTATTATATTTGTCATGCATGTAGCTAAAACTTTAATACAGCCACATGCTAAGCTAAGAGTTTCAAGTAGATAAGGACGGTCTTTGAACTTGCATGTCTTCTATTTTATCAGGCGCAGCCTAGTTACTTTCATTTTTGACATGTAAAATCTGCAGTCCACTTTTAGTATTTGCCTTTAAGAACTTCTTTCTCCCACCTTTAGCATAAATTGGATGAATCTTCGCAAGTGTCTTCAGCAAAACAATATGTCTGTTTACCAAGTAAAATAAGGCTCACTCTGCAAGTATTAACAGAAAGTGTATCGTAATAAAAGTTAGCATCATGAATGCCAAGATTCTTAATTTTTTCAGCTGAAGGATCATATGAGACCAAGAGTCCTTTGTCCACTCTCCACAAAATTTTACCATTTTTCCTTGAAGCTATAGGCTTCATCAAGAGCTGACGACCACCATTAAACCTTAAGTAATCAACAACACCAACGTTGAATGATATGTCCCTTAAACTGATGCTGAACAGTTTCACCCATGATTCTGGGTCACCATACTCTTTCATCATCCAATTATCAATTGTTTCGTCATTTCCATTGGAACAATCAGCCAAACAAAGTGACTCATCTGATACAAAAAGCACAAATCCCTCACCAAAGAAACCAAAAAAGTTCCAAACCAAACTACCCGGTACCGCCATCTCCCGGAACGTCTCCTCATGCACATCAAACAAAACAATCATTTTTGGACCTTTTATTCCTCCTTTAGAAGCAACCCAATGGCATGCGCCATACACATAGATCTCTGGTTTCCGCTTAAAGAATTTATAAGATGGAGCAACAGGAGTAATGTCTCGCCAAACACCAGTGCTTAGTTTAAAAAGCTCAACATGAGGTGGTACCCTATCAGTACAAAATCCAGTGTGTACTATTCTTACCACCTTGTAGTCATTAGTAACACTATCAAACCCAAACCCTAATGTATGGTCAAAAGGGCCATGTGTTTTAAATATAAAAATCGGTTCGGGGAGTTTTACTGACTTTCTGATGGATGGATTCCAAATATAGTAACTATCCCTATAACCCCACAGGTCGTCGGAAAGGCACAAAAGCCCATTACAACTACCCACAATATTAAAGTGAGTTTCACACTCAAATGGAAAATCAAATTGGGCATACTGATCAAAATTTTCATTGTCACAGAACAAAGCATAAAATTCTTTTAGTGGTTCTCCGGAGCAAATGTCGTACTAGAAAGTAATCATCTTGGTAATTGAGGTGAGTGGAAATGAAATTAGGGCTAGTAATAAGAGAGTACCATGATTTGCAGACATTTGTACACTGAATGATAGACTTGGTGGGAAGCTTTAGAAAAATTTCAATCAATACTTCTTGCGGCAAATACTCAGACATGTTGAAAATCACTTCTAAAGCTTGATTTCCTTTCTCCTACTACTGCAGACCCCTAAAGAGCCTCAAGTCTTAGCTCAAATGTGTATTTCTACTTTCTGGTATCTGCTCTCTCATTCTCTGCAAAACCCTTTTTAAACCTCAGCAAGAGCTTGAATTCATCCGCATGTATGTTTTAACCCTAAAACTTTGTTTAATTCCATTGTGGTACCTTCGGATTTAAAAAAAAATAACAACAACAACAACCCAGTATAATACTTACCCCTACCATGAGGTAGAGATGTTGTTTCCAATAGAAACTCGGCATCCTTCCCTCCAAAAACTCCCCACCTTGCTCTTGGGGTGACTCGAACTCACAACCTCTTTGGTTGGATGGTTGGAAGTGGAGGTTGCTAACCATCAAAGCAACCCCTCTTGAAAGTGGGATTTAAAAACAATAAAATAAAAAAAACAGCACATTTGGTAATTTGGTAGATATAGAGAACGTGTACGTAGTCAATACAAAATATATAGCCAAAATTCTATTGTCCGTATCTTCTCGATTTCTCTTTGGTATGGATATAATTAGGTTAATTAATTATAATAATTTATTTTAAAACGTCAGTAAGTCACATTGCTATTAGGATGTCTTATTTGTTTTGTGTATGATAATAGTAACAATTTTTAATATATAACACATAAAGTATAAATTAAGAGTATTATATGTTTATCGAGTATATACTACAAGAGCTTGTATACACTAAGGGTGTCAAATGGGCCAGGCTGGCCCGATTTTTCAGAATAGCCCTGACTAGTTTTAGATCGGACCGGCTCGGTGGTAAGGGGGTCGGACAGGGCTAGGTTGGGACGGGAATCGGTCTGTGCCAAGGAAAATTTCAATATGGGGTAACCGAACCGGTCCAACCTGGTAAGGTCTTGTCAATAGTGATCTGGTTAACCGCGCCGGTTCAACGGTTAGTTCAATTTATATTTTAATAGTCTTGATCGTTGGCAACGGTCAGCTGCCATTTTGACCGTTGCCTAACGGCTAATTCGCAAGAATAGCCCTTTTGGGCTTTTTATTTTCAAAAATAACACTTTTACTAATTTAGCCCTTTGAAAAACTATAAATAGATCCCCCGTGTTCTTCATTTCTTCACTCATTTCTCAATTCTCAAACCCAAATTCTCACTTGTCATTCTCTCATTCTTCACCTAAATTACTATCAACTATTTGGCTCTCATTTTTTTTGGAATTTTATCTATGGTATTGAACAATTGAAGTTTATTCGTGGTAACGTCGGAGTTGCGAAATTCAATTTCAAGACTTCAAAAATCATCAAATATTCAATTTATTGCAGAATTCGGTGCACTCGTTCTAACTCTTTCTCTTATATAATATTTTATTTGCATATTTAATTTTTATTAGTATTTAAATTTTCACAATATGTTTAATGCTGCAAAACGAGTTTGTAATAAGGTTGCCAATCAGGGTAATCAGGAAAATAGAAAAAGATGTGCTACTTCAACTTCTGGTAGTAATTTAAATGACTTTACACATGTTTCTGAAGCAACACTTGATAATAATATAGATTAGGACAAATACATACGCAACCCCTTAAAGTTGTCACAAAATTTCACTTAGACACTTCAACTAGAACGGTTACCTTGTTGACACTTAAAGTATATAAACAATATTCCTATTGAACACAAAATTTACATTTTCAAACCAATACAAGTGTGTGCATCTCACTTTTCGGGGACTCTTTCGACATGGCAAGTCAAACCAATTAAAAACTTACAAATCAACANTTGAACACAAAATTGACATTTTCAAACAAATACAAGTGTGTGCATCTCACTTTTCGGGGACTCTTTCGACGTGGCAAGTCAAACCAATTAAAAAATTATAAATCAACAAAAAAATAAGAGACGTGTCAGAAATTAAAAAGAAGGCCAACAAAGAAAAGATTTTTCCATAACCTTTCTTAGTCATCTTCTTCCTTAGGATACATACTGTATTCCCGTCAAACTCTTCTCTCCGATTGAAGCCAGCAAATTTGTTTATTGTTGGTGTTAGCATTCTCATTTTCTTAAAGAAACATTAAAATCTTTTAGAAAAATTAAAATTATCATTTCCCATTTTCTTATCCCTTCTTCCCTGGATTTTTTTGATTGATTAGAAGTTTTCTTCTCTATCTTTTATGGCAATTAAAGCTTGGTGTAGAACTTTGTCAATCTTTAGATCTGCTGTTATACTATTTCCGAACCAGAACCTCCCTCCCCTCGTCGTCTTCTTAAATGAAAATTTAATATCTTTCCCGATCAAATTCCAACAAAAATCAAAAATCAAATGAATCACAACAACAATAGTACCTCAACATATATTATAAACAAATTAGTAAGAAATATTTTCCACCAAAAAGATCTGAAGCCAGACCCAAATACGGCTCGTCCTACCATGAACCCAACGGGTGTCTCCGGCGAAACTAGGTGGTGGGGATAACGAAAGGATACATTTTGAGTTTCAGATCAATGCCGAAAAAATATTTTAATAGCTTTTTATTTTCATCCCAAAATAAGGTAGAAGGATTCATCATTGGCTATAATAAAAAGAGCTAAAGGAATCAAATAGCTCTTCTCCATTTTCTTTCTATTCGTTGTCTATATCTCTATTAGTTCTCTTTTAAGTAGTAGAGTGGTCACGAAAGGAAGAACTTGATAGTTGGGTTTTGTTGAAAAATAACTAGGAGAAGAAAGAGAAGAGGATTCCGTTATTCACGCGTCTAGCTCAAAGTGAGAACCACTCCTTGTGCCACATATGCATGAGGTGTTCACTAAGAACATTGTTCGTATACTTTAAGTGTCTAATAGGTACCACTTCTAGTTGAAGTGTCTAAGTAAAATTTTATGACAACTTTAAGGGGCTAAGTATGTATTTGTCCTATAGATTATGAACAATTACAGGAAGATTACGGTATAGAAGATAATAAATTAGAAATTGAAGATGAGACACCACCTACACCTAGTAGTGTTGGAGTTGGTAGCAGGGGTGGTGATCGTGGCACTAGTAGTAGACCACATGTGGTTCCGACTACTAGTCATCGAAGAAGGAGAAGTAAAGCTTGGAAATATTTTTGAGGAAATAGAGAATTCTGACAGAGTTAGATGCAAAATTTGTAAAGATGTTTAAACATAAGACTGGAGGAAGTTTAGGGGGGATTGGGATACTTAGTAGACATATGAGGCTCATCCCATAGAATGGGGCTCTGATTTAGATGAAAATCAAGGAACTCTATACCCTAGTACTGGAGGACTTATAAAATATGATAAAATGAAGGATCGTGAGGAGTTAGCAAATATGATTGCTTTGGGTTGTCTCTTTTTTCTTTTGTTTCTTCATCGTCTCTTATTATGTATAATCAAAGGATTTATAATCCTTTATTTAAAGGTTTCCCTAGAAGTACTTGTAGATCTGATATCTTTAGACTTCATGAACAATATCAGACATATATATGTTATTTATTTGACCACTTTCCTTGTAGAATTTCTCTAACTTCTGATATCGGCCATGCTGTTAATAGAAATGATTATTCGATAATTACATATCATTGGATAGATGATAATTATTATCTGCAAAAACGTATTATCGCTTTTAAATATGATGAAAATCAAAGTCATACAGATATTTTTATAAGTACTACTATTTACGAAGTTGTTGCATTTTACAATCTTAATGAAAAAGTATTGTGTAATTCTTTTGATAATGCTTCTAACAATAATACCGTTATTTCAATATTAAAACTGCATTTGTAACCACCACTTGAAGAACATTTTTCATGTTAGGTGTTGATCACACCCAACTATGCCTTGTAAAAAGGATTTAGCGGTCGTTGCAAATATATTCCGGTTAATAAGTCCGGAATCGAATCTCACAGGGAATTAACCTATTAAACACACCTACTAGACTCGCACAAATTCACGCAATCAATCTTCAGAAATATTTAAGTAAGAAATTTGATGTTTACTAACTAAATATCACGTAATGAAAATGCAATAATTAATAACTAACTATGAAAGAGTTGTAGACAAGAATTGGAATGATCTAAGGTTATGATTTCCCCTATTGTCGGAATTCTTTCCGCTACGTTTTTTTATAAATTTATCTAAGTCTTCTCTACCGATCATGGACGCTCTGAGTGATGTAATTCTCTCCCTAGTAACTACCATAATTTACTAGACATATTCTCCCGAATTACGCTAACTGGCATTAAGTACGGCTCACTCGGATCGCACAAAGGTTTCGTTATCCCTAATCCCACCTTTAAACCCTCCATATTGATCCCTCATATATATTAGGAGTGATGTTGTTCAATAATTACCTAAATATACACTCTCTCCCGAGTAATACACACTAAATAGGCACAATCGATTGAGGGCCTTTCAATCAACAACAATAATAATATAGTTGAACAAATAGAGAAAATACTACGGAAAATCTATATTAACGTAACAGGAAAATTACCTCCAATAGGTTCCATCAAAACCCTAGATTAGGAGTTTAGCTACTCATACTCATAGTAACAATATCCCATATGTTTTGCATAATTAAATTACAAAGTAAAGATGAAAGGATGTTGAAATCAATGATTCTAACTCCCAACGGTTGTTTCACGAGCTATCATTGCCTCTGGTTGCAAAAACTCCTTCAAAAGTGGCATTTTATGTCTATTTATATGTGTAAAAAAAGACCTAAACGACATAGGCCAAGTCCTAGTCAAATCAGAAGACGAAATAAGCCTTCAAAGTTCGGAGTGTGCGCGCCTCAGACCTCGCCTCGCGAGGCTTCACGCGAGCATGACCTCGCTCCATACCTGGCGTCACCAGCCTTAACACGAGGTGGACCTAGCCTCCTACCTCGCCTAGCCTGCTCCCACGCGAGCTAAAAGCCTCGCATGCCAGCTCCCATGCGAGCTATGAAGCTTGCTTCGCTAGCTTTCTCATTTATCCGCTGCTCACTTCTTTCTTTCTTCTTTTCAAATGTTTTCGAGCACACTTTAGACTTTAATTATTCCTTTTGCTCTACTTTTATCTTCAATTTACCTACACATAAAATAGACTCCATTACGCACAAATAAAATATAGTTTATCATTAAAGCATACAAAATGCAAGATAAATAATGTACTAAAATATGGAATTATAGCCACACATCAATACCACACACTTAAACATTGCTCGTCCTCGAGCAATCAAACTATACTTATAGACACAACCTTTTTAAGCAATTCCCTTAACTCATCATACCAAGAATCTTTAAAATAGTCTAAGCACAAAGGTGGAACATCCTCACCTCAAGATTCGACTCATAAATACCATGCCTTATTCACAATTCACTTACTTACTCTAACATGGAGGTCAATGACATTTCCTTTCCTTTATGAATCACGTGCCCTCACCCAACAAAGAGCTTAGTTCCACACACAATGAATTTTAAGAACGTAGGAACTAAATATAGGAAATATTCACTCGCTCTCAGAAATAACATTCATATGCCACAAATGATGTACCATAGGCTTGCTCGTAGTGTAATACTCTACTAATCGAGCTCATTCAGTCTAGGATCAAGTAGGACTTTAATCGGTTGTACTGTAGGTTGCGAGTCGGGTAAGATATATTTGGATATAAGTGACTACACCTCCCTTAAGCACTTGAATACATATACTTTAATACTACAGCCCATACTTATGTTAAACCAGAATTCCACCTTCACTTCAATTTATATTACCCCATACTTCTTTAAGCACAAGTATATCACTAGCCACCACCATCAAGAATTATTTTTCATACAATACAACTATTATGGTTTTCTTCTTCTTCTTCTTCTTCTTCTTCTTCTTCTTCTTCTTCTTCTTCTTCTTCTTCTTCTTCTTCTTTTTCTCTTTTTTTTCTTCTTCTTTCAATCCAAGTGGCTTTTATTGACAATTTTGTTTTTCTTTCAAACGGTGCACCTTTCTCCTTATTTCATTTGTTCCACTCAAAAGCCAAAACACCTCCCCACACTTTAACTTTACATAATTCATCACAATTCAAGTACTCATGAGAGGTTACAAGGTTCAAATATATGGTCGATTCAAACAAAGGGGTACGACTTGTAATGTGGTTACCAAAAAAATAAGATTATAGGCTCAAAGGAGTTAACTACGTTATATGACATTCAGGCGGGTAAACTCTATATATCTGGCTCAACAAAGAAACGCCTATATTACTTCCCAGACTGAACAAGACTACCATTTCGCTTTGCACACACACGGGGCAAGTTCTAGACATCAAATGCAATACACTGAATACATACAAACCTCATACATACATGACACATAACTCACTCAGGATTGGTTTTATCACGACACTCCAATCAAAGTAGTCAAGCAAATTTAAGAATCTACGATTTAAGGTACTTATACTAGAGTCAAAAATTGAGCCCAAGCATCACAACCAGAGTACTAACTATTCTCAAAGAATAACAAAGTTACGAGATATCGCTGCAATTAAATTCATAGCCTAGTGATTTCTACTTCTAAAAATTAAAACTAACTACACCCGGTTCAAATAAAACCTTTGAAAAAGAAGTGCGTCCCAAAGAAAAATCAAGGGGGAATTACTACACTACCTACAAGAAAATCTTTTTGGTTTTTTTCTTTAGACTTAATCCCCTCAAGAAAACTGTCTAGGAGATCCATCGCCGGGAAGAGTCTAATTTTTTCTAATCTTTTTTTTGTTTTTTTTTAAAAAAAACAACTAAGATAACACTATTTTTTAAAAGGCTACATGATTATCAACAGTTTCTGAGGTTACTCAGACTTCACCTCATCGTTTCTTAGCATGAGAATTAAGAAATGACACATGGGTGCTTCGTCCACATTCGAAGCATCGGGCTATCAGTGAGCCACCCCACACTTAAGACTTTAAAGTGGTGCACAACTACATAGCATTAGTTTTATAATCCCGGAGACTCAGGATCCAATGGGGACAAAGAATGCCTTTTAGGCATTATAACAAATACTTAGCATACACTAGTACCATGGGAGTGCCTGTAGGGGCGAGGGATTGCCTCACCCTCCCAAATCGGCTTGGAAGTTCCATACTACCATTTGTTCACACAATCGCAACACTATTCCTATGGGGTTCATGGGGTTAGGACGCACAAACGCATGGTTACAATGAAGAACAACCCCAAAACTTTGTGTCCAATGTCATGCATTCACCAAACTCAAAATTGCCAAAGAATGGAGATAGAAACGATACCTTAGATGTTTAAGAGAAGGGATTTTCCTTTGAATTGTTGTTTCAGTTGAAGGAAATAACAGAAGATTGCTTGTCTTTAATGGAGTTGTGAGGGGGAGGGTTTGGCAGTGTTCTGCGTGAGTGTGTGAGGGTGTGTTTTGTGAGCAGTGGGGTTTGTGTGGGAGGAGAAGCGGAAAATTGGGGCGTGCAATGTGTTTTCTTTTAGGCGTGGGTGTTTTAATTTGGGGTTTTAAGAGGGGGAATTAAAGGAAAACAAAACAAAAAGAAAATAAAAGCAAAAAACTAACCTGGCGATGCGATCTTTTAGGCGTGCGACATACCTGGCGAGGCGAGCTCAGAGGCAGGCAACGCGAGGGATTCCGCGAGATGTGTCTCGCTATAACCCATGCGAGGCGAGCTCCTTAGCGAGCTCAATACCTGGCACTGCATGGCTTAACGCCTGGCCTAGCTCGCTTGAGACCAGGCAATGCAAGATACTGCGTACGACTTGCCGAAATCACCTACAAACATGGTAGTTCCTAAAAACGAAAAGAAAAATTCTAACTACACTAAAAATCAACTACGAATTGGGTTGCCTCCCAACGAATGCCTTAGTTAACGTCACGGCATGACGAATACAACATTACAATGGGCTGCCTCCCATAAAGCGCCTGATTTAACGTCTCGGCACGATGCAGGTAATCATACTAAAGGCTCGCTCAACATTGGTGGCTTGAGCAAATGAGTCATCGATACTACTTTCGCGTCATCCATGCCCAAATAATGTTTTAACCTTGTGCCCATTGACTCTGAACGTGCGAGAGTCATTTTCTGCAGCAATCTCTACGGCTCCGGTGGGGTGAATCTCTACCACATGAAATGGCCCTGACCATCTTGACTTCAATTTACCTGGAAACAACCACAATCTCGAATTGAATAATAATACCATGTCTCCCCGCTTAAAATTTCGCTCAAGAATATTTCTGTCACGCGCCAGTTTCATTCTTTCCTTGTATAACCTTGTGCTCTCAAAAGCATGGTACCAAAACTCGTCAAGTTTATGCAACTCTGTGACTCTACTAGTTCCAGCAGCCTCCACATCCAGATTTAATTGTCGTAACGCCCAGAAGGATTTATGCTCTAACTCCACCAGCAAGTGACATTCCTTTCCAAACACCAATTTATACAGCGATATTCCAATCGGAGTTTTGAATGCAGTGCGGTAAGCCCATAACGCATCATCCAGTTTTCTTGCCCAATCAGTCCGAGTAGCATTTACAGTTTTGGTCAAAACGCTCTTGATTTCTCTGTGTGACACCTCGACTTGCCCACTCGTTTGTGGGTAATACGGGGTGGCAACTTTGTGGCGAACGCCATATTTCTCCAACAGCTTTTCAAAAGCTCGGTTGCAGAAGTGGGTACCCCCATCACTGATGATAGCTCTTGGAGTGCCAAATCGAGTGAAGATGTTCTTTCTGAGGAAACCAATAACATCCTTCGCATCATTTGTAGGAAGTGTGATGACTTCTACCCATTTCGAGACATAGTCCACCACTACAAGTATGTACTTGTTATTGTATGAGCTAACAAATGGTCCCATAAAGTCGATTCCCCACACATAAAACACTTCTACCTCTTGGATCGGGTTCATGGGCATCTCATGTCGATGGGAAATATTCCCCGTCCGTTGGCACTCATCACAATTTTTCACCCAGAAGTGTGCATCTTTAAACAGCGTCAGCTAATAAAAACCTGACTTCAACACTTTAGCCGCTGATCTTACGCCCCCGAAATGTCCTCCATACGGTGAAGCATGACATGCCTGCAAAACAAAAGATTGATCTATCTCGAGAATGCATCTCTGGATCATGTTATCAAGACAAATCCTAAACAGATATGGTTCATCCCAGAGATACATGCGACAATCACGAAAAAACTTTTTCTTTTGCATAGAAGACAAGTCATAAGGAACAATACCGCTTGCCAGGTAATTTGCAATATCTGCATAGCATGGTGTAGCCTCGAGGCTCGTCGCTAAGAGTTGTTCATCCGGGAAAGTCTCCACAATCTCTACCACCTCAACCTTCTTCTCGGCTCCTTCTAACCTAGACAAGTGATCAGCCACTTGGTTCTCCATTCCCTTTCGGTAACAGATTTCCAAGTCAAATTCTTGCAGCAGTAGCACCCATCGAATCAGGCGTGACTTTGACTCCTTCTTCTCAATTAGGTACCTGAGAGAAACATGGTCAGTATAAGCAATTACCTTCGAGCCTATCAGGTATGACCTGAATTTGTCAAATGCGAACACCACTGCTAGCATCTCCTTCTCAGTCACTGTGTAATTTAGTTGGGCACCACTCAAAGTTCTACTTGCGTAGTATATTGGATGCATGACTTTATCTTTTTGCTGCCCAAGAATTTCTCCCATAGCATAGTCGCTCGCATCACACATCAGCTCAAATGGTTTCCCCCATTCAGGTGAAACTATGATAGGTGTTGTCACCAACCTCTTCTTTAATTCCTCAAAAGCTACCCTACTGTCATCTGAAAACATAAAAGGGTGATCGTTTTCAAGCAATTTCCACAAGGGGTTAGCAATTTTGGAGAAGGCTTTTATAAACCGTCTATAGAAACCGGCGTGGCCAAGGAAACTTCTTATTGCTTTGTCGAAAGTAGGTGGTGGAAGATTTTCTATCACATCAACCTTTGCACAATCTACCTCAATGCCCTTACTCGACACTAGGTGCCCCAAGACTATACTTTCTTGTACCATGAAATGACACTTTTCCCAGTTGAGCACCAGATTAGTCTCCACATATATTTTCAGTACTCTTTTAAAATTCTTTAGGTAATCATCGAATGAGTTTCCCACCACTGAGAAATCATCCATAAAGACCTCCATTATTCCCTCTACTATATATGTGAAGATGACCATCATGCACCTTTGAAATGTGGCGGGTGCATTGCATAGCCGAACGACACTCTACGGAAAGCGTAGACGCCATATGGACAGGTGAAAGACGTTTTCTCTCTATCTTCCGGAGCAATAGAGATCTGATTTTACCCCGAGTATCCATCCAGAAGGCAAAAGTGGGACCTCTCGGCCAGTCTATATAGCATTTGATCAATGAACGACAAGGGAAAATGGTCTTTTCGGGTGGCCTTGTTCAATATTCTGTAGTCCATACAAATTCATCATCCCGTGACTGTTCTTGTTGATATCAACTCGTTGTTATCATTTTTCACTATAGTTATCCCACCTTTCTTTGGCACACATTGGAGTGGGTTGATTCAGTTGCTATCGGAGATGGGGAAAATGATCCTCGCATCTAACCACTTTATCACCTCCTTTTTCACAACTTCATTCATATTGGGGTTTAGTCTTCTTTGATGTTCTCTGGAAGGTTTGTGGCCATCTTCCAGTAGAATATTATGCATACAGAAGGCCGGGATGATACCCTTAATATCTGCAATGGTCCAACCAATTGCAATTTTGCACTCAATCAATACCTGCAAAAACTGTTCATTCTGCACATCTAACAAACCAGATGAGATAATAACATGTAAAGTTGAGTTAGGTCCCAAGAAAGCATACATGAGATGAGGTGGTAGTGGCTTCAGTTCCAATTTTGGTGGCTCTT